AGTATAGTCCAATAGGCCTATACAGCAGTTTCTTTCGTCATATTCTTACACTCAGCCCACATACCCAACTTACACACACAGCTTCACCACCTATACGCCTACGGAAACAAAGAGGCTGAGTTTATCTTCCCCCCCCCCCCTCATTTACCTCACTTGGGTTAGAAAAGGAGGAAGTTGTCTAGACTAGTGAGAGCCTTACATAACCTACATTGACGTAGACACACAGCCGTAAGCCCTGCCTGACACATACACGATAACCACTTAACATTATGGTTCATTGCACGACCTAAAACTAACTCCGTTCACCCCGCCCATGACTACTGTGACCTTGCTGACAGACACACACACACACACATTACACGCACACTCACAGAAAGGTGTTCATGTGTGTGTAACGTGTATACAAATGTGGCGTGCGTAAGCTGGTTATGTTATGGAAATGAGAACGGCTGAACAGTGGTGTGTGATACAGAATTAGAGAGCGTGTACGTATGCATACAACTGACAGTGAATGAACCACTAAACTGTCCCTTTAAACACAGCATCCCTAACCTGACCTGACCTAACCTAACCTAACACAGCATCCCTGGCTCCCTATACCTCCTCCACATCCCCTCTACTCCCACAGGCAAGAAGTACACAGAGAGAACAGCAGTCAGTGGGGCGGAATACAGCCACTCATCATTGTCTATCAGGTGTTGAAATACTCCCCCCCCACCATTCCTCCCTCCCTCCCTCTCCCTCTCTCTCTTTCTCCTGCTATTGAACTTTCTTCGGTTCATATTCCTCTCTGTTTTCTATCACCCAAACTCTCTCTCTCTCTCGTTCTACCACAATTACCACTACAACTATCTATCACCATCATCATCAAAGCAACAACCACCACCACAACTAACCACTACAGCAACATTCACAACCTCTAACAACCATCACAACCCCTAACCACCACAACAACCACCATCATCACCACCACAACTACTACCCGTCTACCACTACCCTAACTAACCCACAACCATTTTAGAGACGTAATTATAGAGGTCGTAATACTTTATAGTCCAATATTCTTTCTAAACTACTCATGACCCGGCTGTGCAGTAGTTAGGTGACGTCATCACTATAGTTAGCAAAGTTACCCTTAACAAAAAAGAAGCATGTATAAATACCTTGATTCCTTCTTTCTTCCATTCCTGATATTTTCCCGTTTTCTTTGAATTAATAATAATAATAATAATATAATCTTTCTCAATTTCATTTAAATTATATTAATTTAATTTGTCTACTTATAGTTATTAAATTTTCACCTAATTATGGTTGTTACGGTGTCTTATTTATCATAAAAATGTAATAATAATAATAATAACAATGTAATTAAAATAATAAAACAATACTACTACTAATAATAGTAATAAAAACAACAATAAATTAAAAATAATAATAACCAAGTCAATCTAATATACACAACACGAGGAGATAAATTACACCAACCAATTATTGACACCAAGTACATATGTCAGGCATTACTCCGACAACATAACCCTGGGAAGACCACCAGTCAAAATAACCAGCCAAAGTTTGTAAACAATAACTCGACGTCAAAAGTAACCAAGTGTGCAAGGTTTGAGAGATTTATAGGCAGAAAGTTTGCAGTCAGAATTTTTATTTTATTTTAATGTTTTGGTTTTTATTTTTTTGTAAATTATGATTATGATAAATGTATTAAGTTTGTATGGAAAGAAATAATAGTTGTTTTCTATTAATTTTCAGGATAAAATACATGATATTTTACGTTAAGTTCACCAGGACGATTTTTCTTTTTTACAAATTTTGCAAAATATAAATAACATCATGAGATAACTTCAACCACAGGAGTTAACATATACAATTTAACAATATATTTCCAGACAGTTAAACCAAGACACAATTAACATGTAGGTTAAAACACTAATTGAGATACACCCTGTAACACAAAAGACAGTTACAGTATTACAGAACCTAACTTGATCGAGATAACTCCCCCAGCTGACAAATGTTATAAACTTCTGAAAACAAGAGACGGATTAAAGTCACGCGTTATTTAGGAAAAGTTAACTCAAGGAATTAAGCTTGTATACATCATTATTATTATTATTATTATTATTATTATTATTATTATTATTATCATTATGAAATTTATATACCTTATTATTATTATCACCATTATTATTATTCTGAAGCTTGTACACATTATTAGTAGTATCATCATTATTACTAGCAGTATCATTATTATTAGCAGTTATTATTATTAGCAGTATCATTATTGCTAGCAGTATCATTATTGCTAGCAGTATCATTATTATTATCAGTCATTATTATCATCAGCAGTATCATTATTACTCCAGTGAACAAGACCGGGAGAGCACAAGGGTGACCACTAACATCAAGTTTACGTCAGACGCAAGAAAACAAAACAAGTAAGCAATGCAAATATAATTACCAAACACAATGACTGAAGTGTACAGACTGACGTGGAGGCGGATAGTTTCCATCTCATTAAGGCCGAGCCAGCCATGAGTAAAGGGGGGGGGGGACTGGGCTTTCATCCAATCAGCGAAGTCTTCCCCTCCAGCAAGCAACTGAATGCATCCGCTCGACCAATTAACAAGCCTCATTCCCATAGCCATAGGGTGAGTGTCATCACAGCCAATGAGGAAGCTCTATTGCTGTTGTCATTGTGAACGTCTCAAGTTACTTATGTAGGGGTTGGCACTGAGGGGTGGGGGTGGCACTGAGGGATTGAGTGGCACTATACAGGGGTTGGACGCTGCCTGCACTCTCAGCACATCTAATATATCTGGATCTAATGTAATCAGCCAATCAACGGCCTTCAAAAGCACAGCCAATCAGCTGGACTCTTGAACTTAAAATATATTTCAATGATTTGTGAATTACATGAGTCAACCAATACAACACTTATTTCCTATCAATCAATGGTTCTGATATCATAAGCTAACAAGAAGGCTCAACGGTCTCCACCAATCAAAAGTCTCCAGCCTCCTCTACTAGCCAATGAGCTGCGTTGTCTATTTAGGAGTGTCACACACAACACTTAAGCAGCTCTGGACTCGGTTGCCACACCATCAAAAGGGATGCAGTCATTTGAGGCACTTTGAACAAGTGCAACAATGATGGCAGGCGATGGGCTGCCCTGTTGTGGGGGTGGCACTATAGAGGGGTTGGCAATGGGGTTAAGTGACAAAAAGAGGTTGGCACTGTGGGGTGGTGAGACTGTGAACGGGAAGCGTATGACCTGTGCAGTGCCCCCCCCCCAAACATAAGGGCCTCGGCTGGTGACCTAACACACAACTTGACGCCCCCAGTTGGTCGTTAACAATCACCAGCTGCTGCTTGTGTAGAGGGTGATACTGTCTCAGGTGGGAGAGGCAGCAGATGGTCCAGATCTACCGCACGTGAGGTGGCATCTCATCGCCTACCCCCCTCTCCTTATCACACCAGAACAACCCAATCCTAATCTACAGTACACGCTTGTCCACTCATTACCAATTCATTATTTATACTGTTAATATACGTGACCAACCTGCACACGTTATGCACTGTTGGAGGGCCGCTGAGGGAGATGATGTTAGTAGTTGCTTCAGAAGGTGGGAATTACGCTCCTCTTCCCATGACCTTGTGCTTCCTAACCTTCCTTCGTTTACTTAGTACAGATCTCTCTCTCTCTCTCTCTCTCTCTCTCTCTCTCTCTCTCTCTCTCTCACAAAGTTTTTACCGTAATAAATATCATTCATTCAAATACTTGTTAAATTAATTATTGTTGTACAGCATTCTTACTTTTTTGCAGGTTATCATGACGCATTTGTTGTCATTGTTGTTCTCCGTCGTAAATATCGTTCACGGAGAGATAACTTTTAGGGGGAACTGATAGAAATTTCCTTAAGGCTATTACCAATAAAAAAAAACCTCCCAATTACCGATAAAATAAGTTTCTAACACTATGAACTAAAAATAATAAAAAAATAAAAAAATATCTGCATATAATAATTTGAGATTCCCGTCAAAAGTAACGTACCGTGCGTATGGATAACTGGCGGGAAATGACTAGTGATACTAACCGTCGACCTTCTCTCCCTCGCTGGGATAACTGCATCTGATCCAACTCCGGTGTGTCAACTAAACGTGTCCTTCACCTACAGATGCTAATACGTAATACAATCGACCTTGGAGATCAGATAACAGGGGTGAGAGAACGGACAGAGATGAAAGGCAGAGTAGATAAGTGAGATATCTATCCTAATGAGGTATGTTGATTTAAAATATTTATTTTACTAGTAATAAAAGAGCTTGTTTGGTTTCCATTATCCGGGAGGACAGTCAGAGAAGACCTTACATTCATCGGTGTTCTTTGAGTGTAGACGAAACTGCCAACAATGCTAGTTAACAGGCTCTACCCTGTATATTCAACCCACATCCTTGTTAATTATCTAACCCACAACCTTACCAATTACCTAAACTACAACCCCTTCTATTTAACCTACAACCTTACTAATTATATAACCCACAACCTTACTAATTATCTAAACTACAACCCCTTCCATTTAACCCACAACTTGCTAATTATCTAAACTACAACCTGTCTAGTTAACCCACACTAAAACAATAAACAGGAAGCAGAGTCCAACTTGCGTACACACACACACACACACAGGAAGCGGGCTGTACACTAGCAACACGAGTACTCAGCTGGGGTCCATGACAAACACACAAAATTCTCTCAGGTCTATAGCTGTCAGATTGAACTAAATCAGGTTTATTGCTGCTTACTGGAGAGAGAGAGAGAGAGAGATGTAACAACAACAGCCTTAAGAAGCAAACAAGAACAAACAAATAAACACCAGTATAGACAAAACAGAAGACTCAACACCAACAAATGACTTCCTTCCATCAGTGTAGCCAAACCTAAAAAAAGTCACCACCCCCCCCCTCCATATCAACATCGTACTCACCCTTGCCAAGCTGGACGAAGCCCGTGATGATGATGATGCCCAGAGCGAAGAGCTTAGCCCCCGTGAAGATGTCCTGTACCCTGGTCGCCCACTTTACGTTCCAGCAGTTCACGAATGTCAACACCACTGCGGGAAGAGAAACAAAGATGGCGGTTAGTGATCCTGTGGTAAATAATAAACAAATAAACATCAATTAATAAACATACACACAACAAAAGGATTCGAGACGGGATTTATTGACCCTCTAGTATGCAATAAACAAATGAACATCAACAATAAGCTCTTGGAAAGGTCATATGGGTTCTAGTATTAACAGGTCCATTAAGTGTGTTAGAACCCTATTAGTATTGCTTTGGGTAGTCTATAAGGTTCCTGAGTTTATATTTCCCTTCAAATAATGACGTGAAAAAGATGGCGACTACAAGCGACGATAATTATGTTGTAGAATGTAGATAGACAGACCTTAATGGCGTCAAAATTACCCCAAGACTATACCAGTGAGTTCCTTTTCTCTCATTGTTTAACCCCTTTAGGACGATGACTTAACCTCTTGAGGACGATGACTTAAGCCATTAGACGTAAGATGAAACATTAACCTAAGCATTTTCGTGACTTCTGGAGGATTCTCTTGACAGTTGGTCGGGAGTGAGCCAGATCAATTTCCGGCGGTGACTCCCCCAGGAAGGATTATCAACGCTGCTGTTAGTGGTGTTGGTGAGGTGGTGAAGGAGGAGGTTGGTGAGGGGGAGGTGTAGCGGTGGTGAGGGGGGAAGTGATGGTGGTGGTGATGCAGAGGTTGTGTGTTGTGGAGGAGATAATGAAGGTGTAGTAGTGCTGTGCTGGGGAAGGTGCGCGAGGAGATATCACTAGCTATGGTTTGTGGCTGCGCGGATGGGAAGAGGTAGTCACTAAGTTTATATATTTCATATTTTCCCCGTTTTATTATCTTCTCTTCACCTAAAAACGCTCACTAGCATCCAATAACAAGATTCAACGTTATTATACTTAAAGACGTGAAACATACTAGCAATTTCTAACATATGTCGACGGAGAAACTAGCATGTTTGTAACGCGGAAAATTTCACGCAGTAGATAAAGTGTGTACTACGGTAATCCTGCTGACGTCACGCGCCACGCTATGACGTCACAGCCGCCATCTTGAATCAGAGGTGTATTGCGGGGCTGCCGACGACCTCGGTGACCCTTCAGCTCTCCGACCTTAATGCGTTGTATCGTCTAACACAAACGCAGGTTCTAGTTTAAAAAGGTGATGAAACAATGAAAATCTCATTTACGTGTACAGTATACGGTATAATTACTACTGAGATCATGTTCTTCTTATGTTGGTTACAGTTAAATACAATGATTTTTGGATGCAGTGGAAAGAACTTTGGTGAGAACAAAATTATCATAAATGATTCCCTGCCTATGCAATAAGTTTTCTCTGACATGCAAGAGTGCGGGAGGAGCCGCGTCATCACCGCCGAGGAGTCTGGGCGGGAAGATTACCCGCTCAATATTGGCGGGAAAACCACTCCGCTATGTGGAGACCGCGTACGATAACTCTTATCTTTCTGTCTAGGTTACCGTACAGCTGTCAACTCTTCTGTATCTTGTCTCCCGTGTGATGACGTTCTTCAGGCCAAACCCAGGGAGGATGACACAGAGCCGCCCTTCGTCGATGTTTAGTACGACACAGATGGTATAAGCACTATAAAGCTGGCGTACGTAAAACAAAGCTGGCGTACGTAAGACAGTTGGCGTACGTAAAACAAAGCTGGCGTACGTAAGACAGTTGGCGTACGTAAAACAAAGCTGGCGTACGTAAGACAGTTGGCGTACGTAAAACAAAGCTGGCGTACGTAATACGACAGCTGGCGTGTGTAAGGCATAGCTGGAGTAGATTAGACAATTCTGGTGCGTAATGCACTGTTGAGCGTATTATCGCGTTGCTTATCTCCCGGTTGGCGTATCTTGTACAGGAAACGGCTGAGAAACGAAGTATATACTATCCAAGGTCAATCTTCCTTGGTACTGTCGTTCTTTATGTGTACAATGGCGTTCACGAGGTTGCGTTCTGTCCTTAACCTTTTCCTCCTCCTCCTCCCTTTCTTCTGTTCCTCCTCCACCTGCTCCTCCTTTCACCTGTTCCTGCTCCTTCACCTGCTTTCTCAGTGTTTCACCTGTTCTTCCTCTTCCACCTCCCCCTATCGTGACAGCAGTCGTTGGAAATAAAATAAACACAAGAACAATAGCCCAGGTTGTCACACTTTGTTTACCCGCCTCAGGTGTCGGTGAGTTCCTGGCAGCGTGTTTCATCAACCAAAGAGCTCGCCTTTTCTGACTTGACTGAGGGAGGTTTGTCGCACCTGAGGGATGTGGATATTTACCATTTAGATGAGGATTATCGTAATAAATAACTAAAACTCGGGGATTATCGAAGAAACAGCCTCCCAGCTTATTTCACCTTAAAGTTAACCCCACCCCCTGCATCTAGGTCGCGTTTGGGGGTTTAATCGTCAGGTGATGTGAGAATAAACATGCAGTTAACTTCTTTACAGATCGATTTATTAGTTAACATTTTCCGTAAAAAATGATAATAATGGGTTTATCCCTTTTCCCCAGTGATAATAATAATGGGTAATACCGCCTCTCCTACACTGGGAAATTTGGGCATACCATCAAAGCTCTCCGGTATGAACTCAGTGGAGCTACCTACTGATAAACCTGGGGGGGGAGGGGGCCACGCGCATCAATCCCTTTACCCAGTAAGTGTAGCGCCTTGCATCATATACCTCTACCACGAGTATATTTCCTAAAAAGTCATGAACGTTTGTTAAATAAGTGCCGTGTGTGTGTGTGTGTACGAAATATTATGTCTGTGCGTGTGTGTGGGAAGGCTGGCCGGCGCCACAAACCCCGCCTACCGGCCAGCCGCTCCCCACCAGCACTACCAACCAACCAGCTGATGCAACACCTCGGCCACGTTGCCACCTTCACACCAGACCGTCGCTCCAGCCAAGGTATACTAAATTAGTCTCCATACCAGACTTATATTTCCAGCTTCAAGACATGAGGTTCGGTTGGGTTAGGTTAAGTTGGGTTAAGTTGGGTTTAATTGGGTTAGGTTAGGTTAGAATGGGTTGGGTGAGGTTGAAATGGGTTGGGTTAGGTTGCGTTGGAATAAGTTGTACTGAGGTTAGGTTACGTTACGTTATATTACATTAGATTAAGTTGGGCTACATTGGCTTGGGTTAAGTTTTCCCCCAAGTGATCGATATCAACAAAACCCAGCACAAGTTTAGCCGAGGTTCTCTGGCAGGTCAGGGCGGAAGTTGACAGAAGGATGTTTGATGCCTTATCTCATTTATTCTTAATGTTTATTTTACTCACTGCTTTCCTTCTACTTCTTTTATTAACATTTACTTCAGTCTCATTCTTTCTCCTTGTACCTCTTGTCTCTTCCCTCCATTGCTTCACCATCTTCCTCTCTCCTCTTACTATTTATGTTGTCAATGTTTCTTTATTCCCTCACTTCCTTCCCTCTTCTCATCCTTTATGTCTTATGATCACTCTTATATAACATACTCCACCAATAATAATAATAATAATATCACCCGAGAGAACAGAACCATCGAGCCAGTCCAACATGGCGGGGTGGACCACGTGGGAGCCACACTGGAACAGCTGGCAGAGTTAGAACCTGCCGCCGCACGACCATCATTAATACAGTAATACTACCCACATTACTAACACCACTACTTCTACCCCCACCACCACGACTACAACCACCACCATTACTACCCCCACCACCACGACTATCCCCACCACCACGACTACCCCCACCACCACGACTACCCCCACCACCACGACTACCCCCACCACCACGACTACCCCCACCACCACGACTACCCCCACCGCCACGACTACCCCCACCACCACCACCCGTACTACCACACAGCGCACCTTTAATTCTCCCACCAATAACACCACCCCCACGACTACTAACACCACCCACTACCACCACTCAGTGCACCTTTAACTCCTTCCACCAGGTTTATCAGGCTTACCACCACACCCGGTTGTCTCACCTTTCGCTATACAGTAAATAACACACAGGTAAAACTATGATAAGGAATTGGACAAATAAATAAAATATAATAAAAGTGGAAAAAATATAAAAAATATATCAGAAAAGTATAAAAAAAAAACACCAAATTATTGAGAGAAAAAAAATTAACTACCCCAAATACTTAAAAATTGTCTATGCCTGCACCGTATGCCTTGTGTACCGTATGATGCCTCGTACTGTGACTTTAAGATCAACATGCCCATTTGTACCCAATGCCCCCGCCAAACACACGCACGCACACACACACACACGACACATGTTACTCTTAAATGTACATCCTCATTCCTGTAATCATGGACAGGTGTGTGTATTATTCGTTTAGGACACCTGGTATTTTATATTTTATGCAATCAACTTTTTAAAACACATCGACGCATGAAATTTCTTATAAATATAATTACTTTTTTTTTTACATAAGCTGTACCGTATACCTACTAATGCACCGTACGCCCTATCATTACGAGTTCCTTTGCTGTACCGTATATGCCTGTACCAGTGTACCTATTACGTAGAGCTAATGTACCACAAACAAATACGATAGCCCGCATTAGAGCTAATCGTATCCTGTGTTCCGTATAAAAGCTATTGTGCCTATACTTGTTCCATTATTAAAAGCTTCCGTACCGACAACCCATATTAGAGCTATCGTTCTCTCACGCCCCGTATCAAAGCTATCGTTCTCTCACGCCCCGTATCAAAGCTATCGTTCTCTCACGCCCCATATCAAAGCTATCGTTCTCTCACGCCCCATATCAAAGCTATCATTCTCACGCACCATATCAAAGCTATCGTATCTCATGCCCCATATAAAAGCTATTGTATGCCCTCTTATCAACGTTTAACAACAGCTACCGTACACCGACTGCCCCTTCACCTAACACACGAACCAGTTTACGGTGTCTACATTGTCTACTGTAAACACACGGTCTCTTTAGTGCTGTTATGAGCGAGAGGTCGTCACTTATTTCAGCCGATACTATGGGTGGTCATCATC